TAGTGATGGGACACCCAGACAACTTAAAACATTAAACAGGATTAGGCCCATTAACAAAGGCCCAGTACAGGACAACTTAAACTTAAGTATAGGCTAATAAGAACTCTTATCAGCCGAATACTCATACATACAAAGACTTCAATCCAACACACATGAACAAAATGGAGCACCTGAACAGCACCACTGGCATGTGATCAAGACTGGTCTTGTGCTATTATCTGACGCATCTTCTCCACCCACATTCTGGGATGACACCTTCAAGACAGCAATCTATCTCATAATAGACTACTAATTGCTCACCTACATAATACATCTTATCAACAGCTTTTTAAGACTGATCTTGACTACTTGTTTATCAAGCAATTTGGCAGTGCATGCTATCCTTGGCTTCGAATGATTGGTTTAACCATTTATTGAGTCTATCTAGGCCATTGCTTATGCTAATCAATATGATAGACCAGCACTAGCATATTATTACATACTATCTTTGAAGTTTTTAAGCTCCAATTTAATTCCCTTTGAGATGTGGACAACTTTCTCAGCCATTCTATAATTACTGTAGAGCAAATGTACGGTAGTGCTTATGTGCACAAACACGCAGAGTAATATTATTGACTAAGCAAAAGATGGTAACATGGACATAAATGAAAAAACAAAAAAAAAATCTCATAATATCCTCAAAAAAAAAGCAGAAAACTAGAGAGCTATTAAACCTAACCACAAGCAACTTACATTCCAATCATACTTGGTTTCTCATTCGATACATCCCATGCCAAAAGTGTACCCCGTCTATCACCAACAAATACCCACTCCAAGGTTGGATGAAAGGCAAATGCACCAGCACCAATGAGCTTAATAGTAGTATCAACTGCATCAGGGGAATGAAAGGAATTTTATTTATTGGAGATAACTACAGAAATTCAACAGAAAGAGCCTTAAAATAGAATAAAATAATTTGATAGTATATAAAATAAATTGTTAAGCCCATCATACGTTGTAGTGTATAATGAACAGCATAAGTATAAACGTTGTAAGCTCTAATCAAACCTTCAGCATATCCTACATACTGAAACCAACAAGGAAAATTGTTAAAACCTCTCCCAAAGGAAAAGATCAAGCATATTGAACCACACAGTCCATATTTATTGCCCGATAGAAGAAAATTAAAATTATTCAAGTCAGACTAAGCATTTTACCAGAACAGGTAGGCGAGGATGACAAGCAAGATTGATGATAGGCTTTTTCAGATCTGTCTTTATCTTTGTCGGTGCCTTTCCACCTTCAACAGTTCCAACAACTTCAAGCAGCCCAGCAAGCTCAAGATTTATAAACAATTATAGGCCATAATCAATCGCAAAAGAGAAAATTGATAAGTAAGGAACTGAAGACAAGAAACCTGTTACACTCATCCGTTTGTGGAAACCAAAAAATACAACCGGTTGGAGAGGTGTTAATGCAAGATGGACCTCGGTATCAGAAGAAACTTGTTCCATCTTCTTTTCAGGTGAATACAACACACAAGTTTGCTCAGTGTCAAAGTCACAGGACTGGATTGTACAATCCTATAAAATAAAGAGAACTTAGTTACAGATAGGCATAAAAGCTCATCCTGAACATACACACGCACACACAGATTCCGCTCCCTATTCTCTATATGGAAAATTCGTTTGGAGCTCAAAATGACCCTACAGATTCCTCTCTCTCTCTCTCTATTCTCTATTGTGGATCAAATTTGAGCCAAAAACACTTGCCACATTGCCAGAACAGACCCTTCTTTTAGTAAATATAAAATTAAAATATTGAAAGTTACAAATAGCTGGAAGGAAGTTGCAGACTCAGCTCCTAGTAGAGTTGTTTCCCATCCTTTGTGGACTCCAATTTCAAGTTTCCTTAAATTGAACTTTGATGGCAGTAGTGAAGGTAACCCTGGGCCTTCAGGGATTGGAGGGGTTTTCAGAAATGAGGATGGTGTAGTCATTGCTTTGTTTTCAGGACAAGAATGAGAAGGGGACTCACTCCAAGCTGAAATCTTGGCAGTCTTGGAAGGCACAAAAGGGGACAAGGAACTAAATATTAGTAGATTGGTCATTGAAGGAGACTCAAAAGTGGTGATAGGATGGCTTAAAAAGAAGGATAATAACATGTGGTCTTACATTAATGAACAGAGATAGTTCAAATGGTTGACTCAGGGGATGGAAGTGAGACTGTAGTGGGTCAAAAGGTGTGCTAATTCCTTTGCAGATGCACTGCCCAAACAAGGGGTGGGAAGAAATCATTTGTTTTGGGCTTTGTTGTAACTTTTTAGTTTTTCTGTTTTGGGGAGAGTTAAGACAGTTTACCTCTCCCCATCTCTGTAATTCCCTAGTCTTTCATTTAATGAAAAGGTTTGTTATTGATCAAAAAAAATTGAAAGTTACAACAAATTATGACTTGGGGAAAGCAATAATCCAATATGGGGTATAGGTTGGACAATTGCCCAATCCAAATGGTTACCTACTTGGTGGATTATTGACATTGAGCACATCCTCCCTCCATATGGCAGAAATTCAGTAGATCATGTGGGGCGCTTCCAAACATGAACCAACCTATTTCTGTAATTCCATGAAGGATGTTGTGGCCAATTCAGCTCAACCATGGAGCCACCTTGTATTGGTGGTTATATACAACTATTAACTATTCAGAGTTTTAATTTTTTAATTGAAATTTACTTTATCCAAGTGGACTTATTTTCCAGACATAGCGGTGTTTTGGACCAAAAAATTTTTTCCATGAACAGAAGATGGGGAGGGGAACTCAGAGACTCCTCTTGAACCCCAAACTAACTTGCCACATGTTAGAGTCGTTGGTCATTTACAGAAGCTCATTAAATGACCCGACTAGCAAACCCACTCTCTATACTTCTATATACACGTATTTGAAATCCAAATTTTCAAAGTTGGTGCTAACAAGGCATAGAAATAAAGAAAATAGGCACTTCATTAATTAAAAAAGAGGCCACAACCCAATATTAATCCCAGATATCCAGGGTCTTGGGAGGGTTGGACTGGATACAGATTTAACCTCCAGCATTTCAACCAGAAAACATTTGATCAAACAAGTTTCCACACCAGAGTTTTGAAAGGAAAAACTCTTATTCCCTCTTGACTTATTTAGGAATATAAGATAATAGAAAACCAAGTAGAAGATAAATGAAAATCTGTAAAGAAGAACAACCTCAAGAACAGCAATCACAGCATGCCCACCAGTGGGACTGTATGACATACGTATAACAGGAGCACCAATATCAATAGAAGAGATCTTGCTTCCTGTAAGTGCATCAAATTCTGCACGTACAAATATTGAGAGATATTAGATAGCAAATCAAATCTGGAAAAATGGGCATTAGTCAAGAAATGAACCATATAAGCAGCATTAAATGTTTATAAAAGAAATTAGGAAAAAGAATTCTGGAAAGGCAAGCCCCATAAATAGATCAAATATCCTTGAAAAAAAAGATTAATTGAATGATAATAGACTACTCATTGAAGGGGACACAAATCTTGAAACTGAGTGGCTAAGGAATAGTTGTAGATCCCACCTGTAATAATCTGAAATAAAATAGATGTTTTGGAGCAGCTACAGTAATCCGAACCAGTGAAGAAGGAAGAAGAAGATGAAGAAGAAGACAAGAGAAAGAGAGAACTGGAGGGTTTAGTTGAAACTGATTAGTCACCCAGTCAGTCGACCCCCTAATGTTTATTAGGTTCTAATTACACTTACAAAGACTAAACTGCCC